ATGATTAAACACCCAGTTCTGCCTACCGCAGATCCTTGGAAAGAAGTCAATAGGTAGACAAAAATGCCAAATTTACTCTGAACATCTGGCTGACTGTGCAATGAACCATAATAGTACTGTAATTTAACATCACTGTATCACATATGTGCATGCATTGCTGACTGATAGGTATGGAGAAATAAATTATTTGACAAGGTGTTGTGCTATTGGAAGCTGGAATAATTATATGATTATTAAATATAATTATTATTTTAATTAGAATAACAGAGTTGGAAGGGACCTTGAAGGTCTTCTAGTCCAAACCCCTGCTTAGGCAGGAAACCCTACACCACTTCAGACATATGATTATCCAACATCTTCTTTAAAACTTCCAGTGTTGGACCATTCACAACTTCTGAAGCCAAGTTGTTCCATTGATTATTTGTTCTAACTGTCAGAAAATTTATCCTCAGTTCTAAGTTGCTTCTCTCCTAGATTAGTTTCCACCCACTGCTTCTTGTTCTACCCTCAGGTGATTTGGAGAATAGCTTGACTCCCTCTTCTTTATGGCAGCCCCTGAGATATTGGAACACTGCTATCATGTCACACCTGGTCCTTCTTTTCATTAAACTAGATATATCCAGCAACAGTTCTTAATATATTAGCCTCCAGTCCACTAATCATCTTTGTTGCTCTTCTTTTCACTCTTTCTAGAGTCTCAACATCTTTATTACATTATGGCGACCAAAACTGAATGCAGTATTCCAAGTGTGGCCTTACCAAGGCATTATAAAGTGGTATTAACACTTCACATGATCTTGAATCTATAATTAAGTATAATTATGGTTTAAAATTCCTTGAGGAAGTGACATGGGATTAAAAGATGAATTCCAGCTGCAAATGAAATCTTCGTACAGATGGATCCAGTTTTTTCCGGCACTTCCCTGACTGGCATTTAATTTGTACATTAAAAAAGAATTGTGGAATCACTACCCACACCTGTGCAGCCCTCCCATTTTTTCCCCTTTTAAAAATGTTTTAGAAGGAAAAGCACCCATTTAAAAATATTTCCCATCAAAGCAGAAGGTAGAATAAAAAATAGTTTTCAGCATTTGCACATACCATTTCTGTATCATATTAAACATGAAGAAGTGAAGCAAAGCGACATTACCGAATAGCAGCAGTTCTTCTATAATGCCCATTACATTCTATCTAAATGGTTTTCAATTTGCACTTTGCTTTTGTTTCATAAGTCTCAGAGTTATTGTTTCTATTTGCAACCAAAGCATGTAAAAGCACTGACTCTGCAGAATAGAAACCAGTTTTTTTTATTATTATTGATTCCAACCGAGAGGGCATCTGTAACAGAACACGATGATAACAATAAAACAAAAATAGAAATCTTTCATTTGTTACAGATCGATTTCTCAACTTCATTGGGATAACTGGATGGAAGTCCAACAGGGTTGGTAAGGTTTGTTTTTTT